AGTAGTACATTAATAAGTTGGCACATTGTGTCCGTTTGCTAAATTTAATTAACGCCTGCTTTGTTTATCGATTGTTGTATTGATCCTTTTTTTCCATTAATTGAGTGCGAGCCAAATTGGCTTTGTTATCTTTACTTTTTCTGCAGTGTAACTCTGTGTGGCCATAAATAGTAAAAACAGTCATTACTTTGAACAGTCTCTGTGTATTAAATGTTTTTTTTAATATTTTAAGATTGTTACAGGAATTTTTTTTATTCCAGTGGAGAGTGCTCTATTCTTGGAAATGATGGTCACAGACTCGAACCGTCCACATTTTCATATTTCTCAGGTGCATAGGGGGATCTAACCATTACCTTCGTGCAAAGCTGGCTGATTTGATAATTAGTCCATCTAATCATCGGGTATTTAAAGCCCCACTTGCATCTATTTGCGCAATATGAATTGAAAAATCAACATATAAAATCACGTTTGAGACAAACCCACTTTTGAAGGGGTAAGAATGACTAGGCTGTTAAAATAAGGTTAAATCTCATTGTTGACTAAAACAAGTTGAACTCTTATCGTTGCTACCACACTGGTAATTGTTCCCATGAACGTCACTCTTTGATTCCTCCACCCATTGGTATCGAGGACTCGGTCTTCCAGCCTGACTGACCGGTTTCGCCTCCGTCCACACCGTCATCAACCACCATGCTCCAGGTCAAAACCACTTCTCTTTCTGCTTCTCTCCTCGCACTTGCTCCACTTTGGAATCTCCATCCCATTTTATCTTCGCCCAAGTTCCGACAACCTCGCTCGATTCGAGAAACGCATCAACTCTTTATCCCCAGTGGCCGTTTAGAATGTTGGGGGCCTTTGGGCCTGTGTTCAGCAACTGAGATTTTTTTTTTCTTTCTTAAAAAGAAAACAACAGCGGTCGTGAAATGAACCGAGAGGGCACTGTACACGAGGAGGAAGAGCACTCGGTCGGGCCCTGCTCCCTTGTGATCATTTATTGACGGAGTCTCTCAGCTTTCACGGGCTCTAAATGACACGGGGGGGGGGGGGGGGGGGCTCTTTGTGCCAACAGCCACAACATTTGATATTCTGTTTGCAAGCTTCTCCAGACGAGACACGTCTGCAACCTGATGGACTTACATTTGCCAAAGTACTGCATTGTGATTGCTTGCGTTGTTATTATTATTCTTCTATCATGTTGTCGCGGTGTAATGTGTCCAACGCATGTGAAATGATCAGTTCAATTATGCTTCTGAAATGTGTTGACGCTATGAGGTTTGTCTTATACAGTTATTATAATAAATCATGATGATGGTTCGCACGCTGGATTTGGAATCCAGACGTCGCCAGTTCGATCTCCCAGTGCAGCAGTCGATTTACGTTTCTTATACCCACCCGCCGCCTCTGTCTGCTCAGCGGTGTGAAGGGGTACACAGCAGCAGTTAGTCGATGGGCAGACCGAGGCTTGTGGTGGGGTAAAGTGTGGGCACTCCCACCTCTTCTGAGAAGCGTGGCCAACAGAAGTGTCGGCTAACGTGTACCCTCTCGATGGGGCTCTGTAGAACTTCCTCTAATGCAGGCCCTTCTGCCAGCAGGGTCATGAGCGAGCTATTTCAGGACTGCACCTTTCCCTCTTTAATAATTATAGGTGAGCAGGTAACATTAGAATGTTCTTTGTCACTGCATGCATCGTATACTTGAATGCTGCAGCAACATCATCGTGATTGGAACATGTTCTATCCACTGCAAGACAAGGAGAAATGCTTTTGTCAAACGTTGTAGTGATAGACGATCTTTTTTTTATATAATGCTTGTCAAGAACTGGATGAATATAAATGGAAATAATAATCACCACCTTCTTGGTTCTTTCGGTAAAGTCACGTAGAAGGGAAATAATAAAATAACCAAGAAGATGAATCCCTGCAGTCACGAAAGCTTTAAATCGAAAAATAATCACCACCTCACATTTTCTGACGACATTTTTCTTGACTGCAACCCAATACAAATTAAATACCGGAGAAACGTAATGAATGCAGCTGCAAAGTGGCACTCAAGATAAATATGAGGAAACAAAAGTAATGTTCAGTACAACAAATGTTCTTGGCAATTGAGGACATATGTCGGATGGAAAACACATTCAGGCACTTAAGTGAAGGTAGATTGGGATAAATAAAAACATGAATAAAGTGAGGCTAAAGAGTGCAGGTTGGAGGAGTTCCTTTAGAAAACTGGATTTAATGAATGCTCCATACAGTTCTGCATTTTAATCTATTGCATTCACATACATATTTTGTTGTTTGTGTGTATATATGTTGTGTGTGTGTATATATATATATACACACCAAACATACATCGTGAAATAGTATTGGTCTCCTGACATTTTCACGTCAAGAAGATGAGATGAATATCGTTGTTTTCCTCAAACTCACAATTAAGGTTTCACATTCAGTCCCTGTGCAGCTACTGTGAATATCACCGCCAAGACTCTGCAATGCCCTAATGGTGCATACTATATGGTATCTTCCTAAAGCCCTTTGCATAAATGAGCATGCTTTGTAAAGTAAATACCCAGTCATCGATTGCCATGCACTCTGAAGATGCTGTTTAAATAAGGCAACTATTATCTATAATGTTGTAACAGTGTGCTGTAGAGACGTTGTTTTGCATTTTATGGATGCAATTAACACTTGGTCAAACCGAGTGTGATGTCCAAGCGAATTGGACGTGGATTTTGTTTGGAGAGGTTGTGGGCACATCTCCTTTGGTGTAAAATTACTGACCTGAGCGTGAAATGTCCAAAGTGTGTTTAAAATGCAAAGGACTGTGATACTGAAACATTCCTCCTTACGGAACTCATTTTTAAGTGAGTTTGTATATATATATAATTTTTGTTAAACAAGTTTGAACGTTGCCAGGGATATTGCTTAGTGGCAACGTGGATGGTTACAGTTACGTGATTAAATATAGTAAAATTCTCTATGCAGAAATATTAGTATCTTTTCTTTACCGCGATTTTGACAAAACCCCAAATACCAAACGGGCATCAACGAACAACACTGTTGAAGGTGTAATAGATAAACGTTAATACATTTCTTGAATTATAATTTAGAAAAAATGGACAATTGGAGGGAATCTAAAGTGTAGCAATGCGGTGAGTGAGTGGGTGAGTGGATCAGTGGGTGGGTGAGTGGATCAGTGGGTGAGTGAGTGAGTGAGTGGGTGAGCGGGTGAGTGAGTGGATCAGTGGGTGAGTGAGTGGGTGAGCGGATGAGTGAGTGGATTAGCGGGTGAGTGAGTGGGTGAGCGGGTGAGTGAGTGGATCAGTGGGTGAGCGGGTGAGTGAGTGGGGTGAGTGAGTGGGTGAGCGGGTGGGTGAGTGGATCAGTGGGTGAGTGGGGTGAGTGTTTGTTGTGACCTGCAGTCCCCAAATGGGTGGGGGAATTAATGGGTGAAGATGATGGGAACAATCTATGTTGAACTTCTTTTGCACCATACATAGCCAACTGTGCTAATCTGAGGTGCGAGTGTGCAGGCAGTGCAACGGCACATGGGTCCATGGGCCGGACGGGACCAGGCCCTGGGCTATGTGTCCATGGGCCTGAGCATACATTTGTACCCCATCTAAGGTTTCGTTCGACGATAGTTGCACAGATGGATTTATATGGCAAATATGAGGAAATTACTCATTTCAAGTGTCACACAATGGAATTGGAACTGTTGACGCTATGCCACCTCGGGTGCTATAGACAAGTTAAATATGTGGTCTGGGCTCGTGGACTTTATAAAGAGGGGGTAGGATTTTGACAAGTTTGCCTAATTTAATTCCTTGTGTAGTGACTGACTCAGAGACCCTAAGAGTAGTCGGCACTCTATTTATTAACAGCCTTCCCAGTCCACACAGAGTAACTACAGCTCAGGACAGCTGGCAGACTGCCTGTCTGACGACGACGAGCAGGTGAAGACGTGGATGGCGGCGATGGGATCCCACTCCAAGCAACAGCCCCGAGCTCCCGCTCGGGGTCCCCTTTTATCACCCCAGTCCCACCCTCTTTCTAGAACCTACTAGCGAGTTCCCTGGCTTCCCTCACGTGCCCCCTCTGTAACCTTTCTCCTACATCCCTCTTTCTGGTTTATCACGTGACCTGCTGTGAGTCAGTCGGCTGCTGCAACTGCAGATCCCCTTCTCTGCCAGCAACGTAGTGACCAATGATGTCACGACATTTGTACCAGGGTCCATGTCAACCTTGCTATGTTGTGTCTGGGTTTAGCTATAAGCTTGCTTTGTTTGATGAAAGAAGCTGAACAACCTTCTGTCTCTGCTTGTGAGGGTTCTGGCTTTGAACCCCAGAGGAAGATGTAAGTGAAATTTATCACAGAGCTTTGAGGGTAAAAAAAAAAATGCTTTCTGAGCGGTAGATGGTTGTTTTCCATTGAAAGTAGTGTGTCCGTTACATGTGTAGTACCCAATATTACATCAAAGCAATGGATCTGCTCGTACTCAGCTTTGACAGCAACATCATTTAATGGCAACATAAAATGAACACTATCGTCATCTGTTCCAGTTTTTTTTGGAATGAGATTAGCCGTGTGCATGAAGTAACACATAATATGCATGCCGTGAAACTATAAATTAGTAAGATAACTTTTAAACTTTGCTAACAAATACATGCATCATCCTCCTCTCCCTGTGCTGATTTTCTGTCTTCCACATTCGACACGCCGACGTGCATTGCCGTGTACACAACGGAACACTTTCCTGTACACCTGAGGCTGCACAAACACTCACAACATGCACGCCCATACACGCCCATGTGTACTTAATCACACACAAATTCATCAACACGCATACATACATGTATGCACACACACACACAATTCAACGACATGCACATATCGCACACGCAAACATTCATCCATGTGCACACACGCACATGCACATTTATTAATTCACGCACGCACGCTCATAAATACGCACACGTGTACACACTGTCATACACACGCAGGTCTTGTGTACGTGTGCTTCCCCGAGAGCCAGCAGAGGTGGTGCGTCATGCCTGCTGTTGGGTTCCAAGACCTGCCCTTCAACATCTACGTCGTGGTGTTTGGCACGGGCATCTTTGCCTTCATCCTCAGCCTCATTTTCTGCTGTTACCTCATCAGGTTTGCCCCCTTTTTTAGCATCGCACATCTGCACTCACAGCTCTTTTTATCATTTCGCTGCTGGTTGAGGGCCTCCGCCCCAACACCTTGCAGGGTCATAGGGGTTATATGACCACATACACTTTGGTATTTTCGGTAAAGTCACGTAGCAAAAAAAAATGAAAACAACTAAATTAAATCGCGACGTTTTGGGCGCAACACAAGCGTCCTTCTTCAGGTGGGTACAACGTAGCGAAAGCACAACCACACTTAAGCGGTTGTGCTTTCGCTACGTTGTCCCCACCTGAAGAAGGACGTTTGTGTTGCGCCCGAAACATCGTGATTTTATTTAGTTGTTTTCATGTATTTTATTTTATTTTTTACCTACGTGACTTTACCGAAAAAACCAAAGAAAATGAATCCATTGCAGTCACGAAAGCTTCAAATCTAGAATGATATGACCACACTTAACAACGCTGGTCAGCGTGGGTGATGACAGAGGGTATTACTATATGTGGGAGCATAGAAGTCGAGTGCAACAATGGATCGTGTTGCACTGACTACTACTGCTGCCCGCAGCGTAGCCCATATTAACTTATAACACCTGTTGTATATCTAGGCCAGAGGTCGCAACCGGGTACCCGATACCCGTACCCTACCTGATACCCGGCTACCGGGTACGGGTAGCCGTTTGCGACCCTGGTGCGGCCGGGTACGGGTACGGGTAGACCGTGAGTCACTGGTGAGTAACCGTTTGTCACTCATTTCGGGTAGGGTACGGGTACGGGTATCCGTACCCGGCCGGGTACGGGTACGCGTACCCATTTGCGACCCTGGTGCGGTCGGGTACGGGTACGAGTAAGGAATCAAAACCCGTTTGCGACCTCTGATCTAGAATCAACCCTGCTAAGCGACTGAGATCTGCCGAAATTGGGCAGATTCCAGGTGATTTGGTCACGGGCGTTTTCTGGAACATCCAAGGACATATTTTCATTGTTTATCCAGGAAAAGTAATTTCCAGTCGGGTTGATATGATCCCCCCCCCCCATCCCTAGTGATCGATGGATTGTTAAAAACCCACATATGTGTAGCGATAACATTCAAACGTCACACAGACGAAGGATGTGTTCCCAATTTTTGGATTAACCTGAAAATTGGGCCTAAATGTTGAGAACCTTATTCAAGCTCCATCTCTACGTGAGCGCCCAACCCTGCCTATGTTAAGTGCATTGGCGGAAGGCATGAGTCAATAGGCCCAACATGAATAGATTGCATTCATTAATTTATCTTCCACTGAAAATATTTTCACCGGGGTTATTCCCAGAGCCATGTTGACCCCTCTGCTCTTCGGCAGGTGTCCATGGATTTTATTAACGCGGTTTCCCACATTTTCCCTCTATATGCACATGTTTTTACACGAGAAAATGATTTGCTGGCAGTTGATACTACTGTCTCTATTGTCCTTGAGTATTGAAGGCCAGAGCTGTTGCAGCATTGAGGTGCAATTCAGTGGCTGACTTAATACAAAAATTGAAGATTCAATCTATATTCTGCTTACACCCAGTTGCACATGATTGCATACACAATGACAATAATAGTAATTTTGCCAGCAATTGATGATTTAGGATGTGGTATCCCATGAACACTGTTTACATGAACTAGTTATTGGGATGAATTGCAAGCCTTGGGTTCACGTGAAAGTGGAAAATTGATTTGCTTCTCAATTTTGATAGTCGGGCCGTATCTATTTGTGTCAACATGTTAACAATGGAGGATCGTGCAAGGCCACTCGGATCCTACGCTGCATGCGTGTGGAATTTGAATGCAACAGGACAGCACTGTAGACCCAGTGCTGTATCTGCGCCGAATGTAATCGAGTTCACTGAAATTGATGTTTTTGAACTTCTGCACTTGAAGCCAATTGAAACTTTCTCTCTGTCCCGGCTCTGAACGTATTGCTGAGTTTGGAATCGATTGCTCACAAGTTTATCTATTTTTGATTGATTGTGTTCTTTTCAGTGGCCAATACACTCTTGATTATGTTCTGCACAACACACTGTGTGTCTTGACAATGAAGGAGCGGTCTCTGAATAAAGGCAATAAAATTGGGATGGAATATAATATGCAGACTCACCTATATGATAATTGTGTTTTTCCATGTAATTCAAATGTTAGAATTTTTACATTTATTTTAACTTGCACGCAGTGCCGGGTTTGCCTGCGATTGCTTGTTTGCATCGCACAGCATGGGAGGCAGTAGTTGATTCACTGATCATAGGGATGGTACATTTGTAAGTGTAGCCCTTTAGAGCATCATTGGAATTTCCATCCATCACTCACTGGCACATATTTAACTATATTTACCTGATGTATTTTTATGACACGAAAGATGGAGTAATATGTTACTGTTATTTGATATATGACATGTGACACATACGATGAGGAGCTGCGATACAGTCGTCAATGTGCTGCTTTATTATGAAACCGGTTGTCTTAAGTTTGATTCCCAACCACGGCTAACATCAATAGCAAATATATATATCTGAGCCAGTCCTTCCCCCCCCTCCCTTCACTCACCAATCTAAACTAAAACTACACTATTTTTATTTTTTTTACCATGTAAGGCTCACGAAGGCTACATAGCTGTTTTTCAGAAGTGACCTGCCCACAAATGATAGCTCAACAAAGTGGCTTGTCACTTGGAAATGTATAGCAGCCAAATACTCCAAACTACAACGACCAGCGTGGTAGAGCGCGGTTAAACAACACCCATGACCGACACGGCATGGGAAGTCCATCACCCAGCGGTGGATTGATAAAGGTCCTTTGTACGACATCTATTTTACAGATTGTGGTTAATATTTTAAAAGTTCCGATGCATGTGTAATAAGCTGATTAATCACGTTTGCATCTGTCGACCTAAAGTAATGGCGCTGTCGTCACGTGTCACCAATTCAGATTACGCCGGCAAGCACAGAGCGAGCTCTATGGCTACAAAGAGGTAAGGCTCCACAGCGGTCGCAACACTGCGCTCGATATTCGAATACAATCTCAGGCCACGTTTGTTTTGTGATGGCAAATTAAAGATGTGAGGCTTGAGCAATGATGTGCGTGATAAGGGGTGGATTGCAATCTCCTTCGATTACATTTTAATTGCTTTCTGCACCAAGTTATTATTATTATTATCAATACGCTTGTATACGCAGAAAAGCCTCCCCTGGTCTCAAGTCCCTTTAAGTAAACTTGTACATCAAATGTTACGCTGTGGGCCAGTCCTGGCCCATCCCCCTCCCCTAAACCAGTATATATACGGGGTAGTATCTCTTGGAATCTCTCATTTACTTGATTACAGCAAGCGTGCTGTGACGGTTCCACCTGAAGACGAAAGCTTGTGTTGCCTCCGAAACGTCGTGATTTTTTATTTTATTTTTATTTTACTTTTATTATTTTAGATTTTTTTTACCTACGTGACTTTACCGAAAAAACCTAATAATATGTTACGCTGTAGGTGACATGTGCTCACTGTGACTGTGTCTCTCTTAGTATTCCATTATGGCATTGTACTGTGTTGCAAAATTAGCTCGTTCGAAAAAGAACACAAACACTTGATGAGCATTGAATGCGTACCCTATTGATTTGAACGCTTTAGAAAATATACGTATGCCGGTATCATCACACAGAATTAATAATTGTAATGATAATAGTGTAGCAAGGTGATTTATTTATCCAGGACGGCCTCGCTGATTCTCCAGATTCTCTTTCAAGAGAGTCCTGCGTGAGAGATGCTTGGCCCTTTCCATCACTTAGTATTTAAAGTGTGGGAGATACTCCTCTTCTGAGACATCTGGCCATCGGATTCAGCTAACGCACCTTCCAGAGCAGCCCTCTAGAGCTCCCTCTAGCGGATGGCATCCTGCCATGCAGTGGCATGAGTGAGCAATTGCAGGGCTGCACTTTTACCATTTTTACACTCATCAAAACATCCGGCTTCAGAGCTGCTATCGACAGGCTCTGAGGCAACTATAAATGTGGCGGCATAACAAGGGCACAATATTAATCATATTTAATCATAGCCACCTCCATTTCGCATCCTTCGTCAGTGTCCGTATTGATGTTTTTTTTTACATCACCCTGACCCGGGATTTAATGTCCACCGTATAACACGCGTCCTTTCGCCCTTGTGCCCCAGGTTGTACTGAAGGGAAAAGCCAAGAAGCTTAGCCTGCAAGAGGTGAGCCACACAGTCAGTGTAACACGTCCCGTATTAGCATATCCCTGACAAGCCCTCTACATTCGTAGCATTGGCTTATTCCCCAGAGGCCTTTATTATAAAAGCAGCCACACTCATATTTCAGTTAGCGTGTGCCTAATGAAATGGTAAGTGCATGGCAGACGTTTAAATTAAAGGCTTTCGCAACGCCTGGCTGTTTCCACGGTGAGATTAACAAAGTTCCTCCCGAGTTGGACGTGGTGCCGATAAAGTCAGACCAACCCTGATCGAGGCCGGCGTGACCTCAAAGATATCTGAGACGATAATAACAATGCCGGCAGCAGTGACCAATGATAATGACGATGGTGACGATGGTGATGATGATGATGCTCAACTCCCTAGTTTTATTTATTTTTGGAGATTAATATTTACCTCTGTGCTTATTCGCCATGCATACATGCATTTGCATATGCATGTATGATTTTTCGTCATCCGCTCCAATTGCCGATATAATTTTCTGCTGGGATTAAGTGGTAGTAGTCTAGTGGTTTGCATAATGGCCAAAGTTTAAGTCCCGATCACTGCTAACGTCAGTGGCGAGTGACATCTCAGTCAGTCTTGGCTTCCCTCTGCACCTCATCTTTAACCATCCTGCACTCACCAGTGTGGTGAAGTATGGTCAAACAAATCCCATGACCGACACAGTGTGGCCTTCATCCAGTAGTCAATTGATAAATTGCTCTTAATTTATTATCAGAAAATAGTAGCAGCAGCAATGCTCCCTCCACTGTTGTATTAATGCTCCCCACTTTGTCATCGTTTATATTTGTAAGCTGTGCAACGGAACGTGACGGTTCATCCCCCCATTGTGATTTTATTAATTTTACCCATTCGGAGTCACGATTCAAACTGAAGAATCAATGTCTTTATTATTATTTGTTTTACATTGTGATGTTTGGAATGCCTCTAGTGACTACGTGGATCATTAAAGCCATTCACACATAACATATAAGAATCAAATATAATTACTTACATATAGGCTTTCGCGACCAATATTATTCATAATAAACGTTTTTGGGTTTAGATCGCGTTATTTATAAATGTGTCGTAACCCTCCACCACCCGATACGGCTAATCAATAAAAAAGTGTCACGTTGACAAAAGATAAATAGTTCACTACTTTAGCCCACCGGTGTGTTAAATAGTGAAACCATAACATTTACAATTTTTGAGTACTCAAAAACGTGACACTTTTTTGCTGATTGGCCGTGTCGGGTGGTGGAGGGTTACGACACATTTATAAATAACGCGATTTAACCCAAAAACGTTTATTATGAATAATTACTTACATATCTGTTCTGTAGCATGAGCGTAAGAATATTATTTTACTAGACAGACCCGGTGCATAGTTTCCATGTAGGTTCTGCTGTAGTTTGTTTTCCTAATTTGCGCTCGATGTGCACACATGCTCACCGATAGCCTTGCTAATTGGCAAAGGCAGCCAGCCGCCACCTCCATTTATTCAGCTCGATTCACATAAAAACGAAGTGTTTGCTTTTTCATGGTGTGTTATCAAGAATATGCCAACTCACGTGACTCTGGCACCGTGATGTTTTGCCCTTTTAATTTGATTCAAATCCGCTGTAAATGTTGAGAAAAGCTCATCGTTCAAGATTTTCTGTTTCACAAACTTTTTGTTAGTAAAAATATTTCAACCACACGCAGTTTAAACTCGTGTCTACTTATCTGCAGCACGAGGCATTGTTCAGGGTGTTCATGAAGAGTGAGCAAATGCCACTTCAGTCCTGGCAGCTGGTAACAAAATCACAGAGAGGAGGCAGTAACTTTAAAAATTCTTATTGGCAATACAGCTTGGCAAATCAAACGCATGTAATAAATCGTAAAGGTATGCATTGCGCCCATATCCACACCGCCAACTGCAAAAGAACTGCATGTGTGTAGCCAGTTTTCTGATCCGATGGATTTAGTCTTCATTTACAGATTTCAATCATTGCCTTTAGGCAAGTGATATTGAGTGTCCCCTGAGAGTAAAGTTACGAGTCCTCTCCGTATGCGAGGCTGTCAGAGGGAGGCATATCACAGCAGTGAACATTGATGACCCTACTGCACTGATGAGTCCTAATAAGAACGAAACCAATCTACAATTGTATTTTTGTTTGACTTCTTGTTGGTCACATTTTCTCGACATCTTGAGTTGGTGGTCTAAATGGCAAAATGGTCATACATACAGTTTTGTTGAAGCTGATAGCTCGTCTGCACCAAGGCTGAGAGTGCTTTTGTACTTAAAAAACACATCTTTGTGTGTTTCATCATGGGACCTCCTTTGCCAGTACCAAAATATGAGAATAGGGTTTCCCCTTTTTTCTAGCAACAAAACAGGTGTTAAGATGTTAAAACACCAAACTGAAACCTTTTACAAGTGTAATAAAAGGACTCAGACGCTTCTCTCTGACTTCGTGTCCTTTATTGGGTTCTTGTCTTCTCCCACACGGCACTCTCTTATAGACACTGTATTTGTAGCCCCCGGCTGCTTACTCTATTGTAGCCTCCATCCTCTCCCCGCAGACTCTCTCCTTTCTCTATTGTAACCTCCGTCCTCTCCCTGCAGACTCGCTGCTTACTCTCTATGCAGAACCTCGCTGCTTACTCTATGTGCAGACCCTCTTGGCTGCTACTCCGTGTGCAGACCCGCTGCTGACTCTGTATGCAGCCCCGCTGCTGACTGCAGCCTCCTCGCTGCTTCGGGTCGGTCACCGCTGGCCAACGGTGCCGATCCTCTCTCCCTTGTGTTCGTGGCGATCTCGCCACCCTCCGTGTTCGCCCTTCGTGGCCTCTCTCGTTCCTGGTCCCCCGTCACTCCCCATCCTCTTCCGGTTCCCCTCCCTCTATAGCTTAACCCCTCTCCCCCCACGTGACCTAACTCCTCCCCTCATGACGTCACCTCCGGAGGGCCGTTTACGCCCGCATTACATCACCCTCCCCCATAAAGAAAATCCAGCCGACCTCGGCTGAAATGCAACTTGACAAGCAATGCGGGTGTAAAGGACCAACACGTAAAAAGACACGAAGCATGCAACAACAATATAACAAGAACACAACACAACACAATTTAACGAAACGTGAGGGATTTCGAGTGAGTACGGGTAGCCGGGCCGTCCCGGACGGTCGGCAGCCCACCCGCCGAGCGGGAACGTGGCAGGGTTTTAAGGGCGACGGGAGCAAGTTCGTCCGTTGCCATTGGAGGCCCGCCACTGTCCCGGTCGCGTTCAGAGACGTCCCGTAATCGCGTCCGCGGAGGGATAGGAAGAGCTGCAGGTCCCGTAGGTTCTGCGGCTCCGGTCGGCATCCCACGAGCGGAACGTCCTCCTTCGTGCGGCGTCACGGCCGGCTTGTCTGTAAAGGGTACGACAGGCGCTCTTGCAAGGTCAGCAGGCACAGGCAAGGGCGAGTCGGCAGCAACAGACCCCGGCAAGGCAACCTCGGGAGATGACGCATCCGGTCGCGGGGCAATGTACGGCTTCAACCGGGATGTATGCACGAACCAGCGCCGCGAACCAACCCGAACACGCGCCGACTGTGGGTTGGGAACCTCAATGAGGCGGACCGGTCCTTGCCATGGTTTATGTAATTTAGGGGAGGTACCTGGCCGCACCTGTGGGCAATGAAGCCAGGCCAGGTCCCCCGTTTTCCAGGGGCACTCCCCCTTTGAACGTCGGGCACACCGCTCATTCCTGGCCTGGGCTTTAGCCGTAGCCATGCGGGCTCTTTCCCTCGCCTCAGTGACACGGCGAACGTTGTCCTGAATATACTCAGGAAGAGGCTTAACAGGTCCCCTCGCACCGGTTCCCAACTGCTCATTGATCGGCGGCACATTTTCACGGCCGTACATAAGAAAGAACGGCGAGTATCCAGTAGCCGCGTGCGGCGTCATGCGATACGCCGAAAGCACCCCAGGGATATGCAAATCCCAATCAGATTGATTTTCCCCGACTGTATGGCACAGCATGGCGGACAGAGTCCGATTCAACCGTTCCACCATACCATCCGTTTGTGGGTGGTAGGGGGATGTCCGTATCTTTTTAGTTCCAAGAGCCGCACACACCTCCCCCAACAATTTGGACGAAAAGTTACGCCCTTGATCTGTAAGGAGCCTCTCCGGCGCCCCCTTGTCCATCACATACCCAAATAGAAAGGCGTCAGTGATAGACGCCGCTGACTGGTCAGGCAAAGGCCAGGCCATCGGCCAGCGGGAGAGGTACTCCACCCCCACCAGTAAATACTTATTTCCCTTAGCGGATAGCGGAAAGGGTCCCAAAATATCTAACGCCACCAGCTCATTAACCCGAGATACTTGAATCGATTGTATCGGCGGAACATATGGATGTTTAGGCGGCTTACGGCGGGCACAATCGGGACACGCGCGAACGTGACCGACGACATCTGTCGTCATGCCGTGCCAATAATAGTCTCGCTGCAGCGTCAATAGGGTTTTCTGCACCCCCAGATGTAAAAGTGTGTCACAATGCAGAGATCTAATCAATTCGTACCGCAATGACGCAGGTACAACGAGACGCCAGTGTTCCTGTATCCCTTCCCTCCACATCAGCAACCCATCTCTGAGAGCAGTTTCCGGTACACCCCCCGCACCGAGCCCCTTACTTGCCTTCTCCGTTTGTTTTCGTAACGTCACCAAGGAATCGTCCAACATTTGCTCCCGAATCCACACAGACCGCGGGAGACGCAAAATCCCATCAGCCGGTCCCCCATCAACCGGTCCCGGTGTAGGCGGAGTTTCAAGAACATCCACCGCCAGCGCGACAGGCTGAGGGGGGAGCTGAATCGGTCCACACCTATGCGTCCCCGACGCACACGCACAAGGGGATTGTTGCGGCAACCTGGAAAGTGCGTCCGCATTAGCGTGACGCACACCCTTCCGATGGTGAATTTGGAAGGAAAATTCTTGCAGCGTGTCCAGCCACCTCGCCAATTGTCCGGATGGC